GACTCTGCGAGCTCTAGGGAATCAGTTGCCGTCAAGCAATAGAATTGCTCGCGGACAAGAAAAAAGTGAGCTGTTCGGGGCGGTCAACCAACGATGTAAAAGCCTTCTTCGGTCTTCCAACCCCTCTCGCTCTCTTATGGCCGCAGCAGAGGCCGAGAGATGTATGCGGTGAGGGGCATTATAGAGCTCGCTGACTGACTGACTGCTCGCTGGCTCGCTTGCACGCTCATCGACTTGCTTGCCATAGAAAACGGCTACATGACTGGGCGGAAGCCGATTTTGATGCAAATTACGACACCATCGGGCTGACACGGGAACGGAAGTGGCACCGGAAGTGAGCTCCATTTAAGTGAATTACGCGGAGAATTTCCGTTATATTATGCATATAGCAGAGTCACTTGAGGGATCACCAACTTCAGCTACCGTCTACTCGTCGTGCAACCGCCTCGACATCAGCAGCTTAGAGCAAAATTATGGATTGGAACGGAAACTATTCACGTTTTTATACGGGGAGAGCACCCCTCCTTTCCCCATGTGATCAAAGTCGACGAGGAGATCTCAATTCAAGTCAAAATGGTTCGAAGCAGTCAGATAATCCGACGCTCCTCCGTGAGAGCCATAAAGCTCTGAGAACGATGCGGATGTTTTCCCCACATACCGATGACAAGATTTGAGAAGTGGGACTTGCTTGTGAAGTACCAATCCCATTTCCTTACGGATGAGAAGGTCGGGAAATTCGTTCGCGAATCTACGCGTAATCTACATCTGGACCATCGAATCGCCAGTCCTGATTTTTCTGCTCAAAAAGTTGAGATACAGACGAATGGGGCATTTTCCGTCGCTCAGAAAGCAGGATCAAGAGATCACGCCGATAGCTGCCGATCCTACACAGGAGGGCCATAGATATAAGCCCGAGGACCAATCGCTGTCATGTCAGTAAATGGACAGCACCGGAGGAGATCGAAAGGATCTCCTCCGACGACGCGACAGGACCGGAGAGAATCCATAGAAGCGAGGGGGGGGAAAGGACAACTCATCTCCGAGGAACTAACTAAGATGCAGATATATAAGGGGCCACTTCGGATGGTATACCCAGGAAACTCTTCTTGTCTCTCAAGATAGCACAGGAAATTCATTCACGAGCGAACTGTAGCGTCGGTCGTTTTCAAGAAGTTGAGATCCGCATTATCTTGCGACTCTCCTACGTCAATCATATGATAATCCTTTTCCCTTCCTAGGCCCCGTCTCTCGGCAATTCCTCTACTAAGTTGGCGAACATTAGGTGCGATCCCCTGCCTACACTCTCGACCCTCCGACAGCTATAGAGTTGGGATTTTGGTTGCTCCTTAAAATTCAGCCTGTTCGGTACGACCGTTTTACATGGCCCCAGATCAGGCCATGGCCTCTGATATAAGGACCATTCCGACCTGCTTCACGAACGGGATCGTATATCTGGTCAGCAAATAATTACTTCCTGAGCGATCCCGACCCGTCTAAGGCTGAAAAGCCAGCGCAAAGATGTTATGCTGCCTGATTTCCGGGAACTAAGGCACCTCGGCTTGTTCATCCCAGCCTGGGTTGTGAGAGGAGTGCTTCACTGAGCATGGGGAACTAGAATATAATTTTTCCGAGCAAAAGAGTTCTGGTCGACCATGATTCTTGTACGCTCGGCGGCGGATGCCGGCCAGTCCTTTGACCCGGACTGGCGACACTTTCAGGGAAACCAGAATCGGCCGGATTCTGCCTCTTGTGATCTGATGAGAGAGCTCGAGTATGGTAAAGCTCCGTTATCGCATACCAAGCTGGCGAAGCTGAGGGGACCGGCGGCAGTGATTCGGAGCTCCCAAAGAGTCGATGAGCATCCACGAACCTGACAGGGTGCTAGCTTCACTTGAAGAGGTGTTAGATGATGGCCAAGGTCGTAGCCGAGAGAAGCTCCTCCGCGCCGAGAAGCCTGCAAGATTCTCCATGGATTCGATGACCGTGCTCCTCTGCTCGCACGAGATGAGAAGAGTTCCCTAAAGCGCAATGATTCAATATTGCTAATTGTGAAAGTCAGCTTATCAGCCCAAGGCTTGAGGGAGACCCTCCTTTCGGGAAGAGTGGCCACTCCCATTGTATAACTAAAGCTCTGTTGTTGAAGCGATCCTGGAGTCCTATTCTCGTTCTCTATCCTCCCGCACTCATTAGGGCCGGGTACATCTGCATTCGGGAATTCGGAATTAATAATAGGAAGGAGGCTCTATGGTGCCAGCACGGAGAAGCCTTCGCGCCGCGGAACTGTGGAGACTCCCACACAGCTCTCATCAAGGTGATCTCAGCACACAAGAGCAGAAACTCATCGGAAGACGACGAGTGGACGGAAAGAGCTACAAGGAGCTCGAAAACTGGAACTAGCGGGATACCGATTGAGGGGAAGCGTTCCGCGGAATCTCGGTCGGAACCGATGGAGGCATCGACCATGTCTTGATTTTACAGGCTAGCATACAGTCGGAATGATTGAGGGGTCCACGGAGGCGATACCGGAACGGCAGACAGAATGTAGAAGCCGGAGGCAGGGAGAGCACACGGTTCGGCGAGAGCTCTCAGGAAAATTGCGGAGCTTGACCGTCCTATTTGAGGAAGCCACTGAGGATATTCACCGCCCGTCGTCGATCGGAAAAAAAAAGATTCACGAGCGCGATACGGATTCGCAGGCGCTGGGTCGAAAGTGACGGCAGAGAGCTGCCGCATGCCTCCGGAAGTTTCCGCTGAGCGGCAAGGATCCCCACCAAGCCCAGGGACCACAGGACCAGCGAGTAGAGAGAACGCTCCCGATGTACCCTAGAAGTTCCTTTAGGCGACTCCGATTTCACTGTCCCGTTTCCAATTAGCACACGCGATTCAATCACGCCGGCTCCATAGAGAAGCAGCCGGAAAGATTTCGAAATTCCGCGGGCTCTCGTGCGTCCGTCATCAAAACAAAGGGGCATCCGCGCGTGTTGCTCCTCAAGCTGCGAAAGTAATCAGGTTCGAAATCGCGCGAACCCTCGGGCTCCTCAGACCCCTGGGTAAAGCATCATCTGGAACCGTGAAATACCATGATATAGGTAGGCTTTCACCTTTGTCGACCAACTCAATCGAGGCTCATCACATCAAACGATCGGAATATCTCACATTTGCCCTTCGGATTCAATAGTCGACTACGCATTTCGCAGACATCTCACCCAGCGGAACTTGTGATTGTAACTATGTCGCCGCTCTGGTTCATGCTCAAGAGATATGCTCCCTACGCAACCTTCCCCGTCGCCCTGGTCGTGGGTTTCATAGGTGAGTCGAAGTTTCCGCATGCCGGCTGATGACAGTTGAGAGCTCTGTTCCGCGATCACTTTCACGCCTCGCGTCGGATTCAGTGCTCGATTGCAGGAATCGCGGAAGGTCAGAAGAGGACTTAAAGTCGCCCCATGGTGGATTCTCGCTGGAATAGAATGATTCCATGTGAGACTCCCACGGAGAAAAACTATTCGGGTCCCTCGGCGCCCAAACACAGCAATCGTCCCTGTACAGTTAGAACGGATCTTTCGTCCCTGGAGGGGTTCTCGATTTCTGATCTCTTCGAGACTTTCCTTCGCATCAAACTGTGGCCTTCACAGAGTTTCCCGTTATTGGGTAGAATGCTCTCTTTCGACTCCCCAGCATACGCTCTGAAGAATATTAATGAAGCTGTCTTCCGGCAGGTTATAATTTCGAAGAACTGTTGGGTCGCAATGGAGCGAAAGACCGGCCATCAGTTCAGGAGAAACGAGTGGAGCGATTTCTAGCCAGAGGAACTGAGGAGTCGGGTGCAGAAGCCGCAACTTATAAAACGATCTTCGATAAGCCGACGAATATCTCGCCTTCACTGAGGCCGAAAGCGTAATTCATCCGAAGTTCCTGTACATGGAGGAATAAATATGAGGTCAGCCGAGGCCTTCCTAGACATGTTCGAGAGTCTCTTGTAAGTCCCTGAACCTCTAGGGTCTAGAGGTTGCAACCGGGAGCCTGGCTTCTCTATTTCCGTGACAAAATACTCCAGTATTGGAACGGGTCATTCGATACCCCCCTCAGTCCAAGAGCACTATCTGATGAGCCCTGGCTATGCAAGCGCAAGCAAGATTGATACTCCCTATCGCAGTGGTTCTTGACTGAGTTCTCTCAGACCGTCAGCGGTCCATCTGGATTCGGGGGAGTTCCACGAGGATATTTTATCGAGTCGGTTGTCAGGTGCGAAGCTAGCCATTGAAGGTATTAGGATTGTGAAAGATTTTCGAACTTATATGAGCTCTTTCCGACGAATCGAAGCCGTCGGCTCTAGCTCCGGGGCGCTCCACGATTTTCAATTTCCGGCGGCACGATCACAGGAAGATTCGATCTGTCCGGAGGATTAGAGATAATACCTCGGAAGATTATCATCAGCTCACTTCACGATGGATTGTCATCTCGAGAAGACATAGGTAGCCCTGAATCTCGGAATCTCCGATAGCTCTCCACTCTCCAGATGGCGGGGAGCGCGGTGCATGGGCCAGGTTCGATCTCGGGAAGAGAACTCGGGGCTGGAGTTGAGCCGGGGAATGACCAGAAGTATCGCCCCGGTATTGGCTTGTGATTTTCTTGTTGTGTGACATTGTAAGTACATCGCGTTGTAACTTCCACATATCCAGAGTCCCAGATGCCGTTTTTATCTTATTCCTATGATTTCGTCATTCTTCGTTTGCCCGTCCTTCCTTTCGACCGCTTCCTCTCGGAGCGCTTTCTATTCCGCTATCCGAGGCAGAACGATCTGCAGCGCTCTCACCCCGCGTATCCACACCGGACTCGATCCAGGACTCGAGGCCGCCAAGGCAAGGTCCCTCCAAGAGATTCTGGAGAGGATAAATTTGGGTTTTGCGATCCGATCGAAAGTAGGGGATTCTTTCCGAGGTGATCCTGCGTCAAGGTCCTGCGTGATATTCTCTTGGCCCGAGGAAGACGTTCGCGATGCCAAATAACAACAAATATAGTTTATATCTAGAAATCATCATCAACAATGCAAGAATTGGAAAATTCCATCTACACGTATAGTCTCAACCATCCGAATCTTGAAGGAACAGTGCGACATTATCCATATCATTAGGTGTAGTTTCCCCATCACGTCAGCATTCTTGTGACTTTCCGGACCCGTCTCGACTTCGCCATCAGAAGCGCTTCTTCGACGACATCCCGCAATTTACGCAGGTTGTCTATGCTGCATTCCAACATGACCTATGGAGTTTTAGAATACGTAACTTATTCGCTCCTCGCAAAGAACCAATCCAAAATGAATCCTCATAGCTTCGAATCGTACGATACAATCACCTTTCTCGGATAGCCATTGCAATCTATCAATTGGAATTGTAGCGTGAGTACCGGATCCATCAGACCTCGGAGCGACCTCGTGGCTATCACAGCAGCCAGTCGCCATTCCAAGCTACGATACGATAGTGGGGTTGGCAAGATCTCTTTCACATGTCGTTCTATTACATGGTGCACCTGCAGCGAGAATAAATCGTCGTAGCTCTCGCCTAATCACCGACAGATGAACACAGGGTATAAATGGGAATGTCGAACTTGAGAGACATCTGAGGAGCCGATCGAAGACGAGAGCGCCTCGATCGTCGAAGCACCGTCCGACTCCGGGCGACTCTGAGAAGTCACGAACCTCAACGTAGCTCTCTGCGATTATATCTACGTGCGTCTGACTCAGTTGAGTCAGAACGAGAGAATCTTGAAGCTTGGACAGATTCCTTCGAGCCGCTAGCTTGAACAGAGCCACGAGGGCTTCGATGCTCTGGTTCACGATCTCTGTATCACTCTGAAAGAGATTGCGCGAGACTTCATCACGGGAGCGTTTTTGGACAGAGTTGGATTCCCGGTCTCTCCCGAGCATTCTTCCGAGGTCCCCGCCCGCCAAACAATCAATTCCACGAACCTGCAACCGCGAGGCGGCTTTGGCGTACAATTTCTCATTTTGGGAGAGGTCCCCGGCGAGGAGACTCTGCACGGCGAGTTTGCAGAATTCCGCTATGACTTCTGCATTGAATTGGTTGAGGTGCTCCAAGTGGTACTTGTGGGCGCGATCCAAGCTCAGCATGTTTGCGGGCACGAATTCAAGCTTTAGCTCTCGCTAGTTATCATTCCCAGCGGAGATCCCTGAAGAGAGGAGTGTCCCGAGGAATATAAGTTATACGTGGACATTCACGATTTGGGAAATCCTGAGAGAGCGCTTTGTCGAAGAAATTCAGCAAAATGTCGATCCTCGCTCCAAAAAAGCACAAGTCCTCACAGCAAGTCCGCTCCCCCAATGTTCGTTGATGCCTGCTCTAAATGAATGGGATCGGAAGTGCGAAACGAGAGATTGTACTGATTGAACATCCCCTCGTCGCTGCGCATCGGAATCTTACGAGACCGGAGATGTCAGCTGAACCAGGCGAACACGGACCGTCCGAGGCGCGAAATTCGAAATTCCGAATCCCGTGCTCCTTATGCAAGCGTAGCTTGGAAGAGAGCTTTGCCCCGTCTGAAATTTTTCCGACATCAATCTTGACGAAGAGAAGGTAGCCGTCCGATCCGTTCCGACTAATTTCAAGTTTCCTCTGCGTTCGCCTCGATTCGAGAGGGTGAGAGGCTCGAACCCGCTGTTTCGGCTGGCCGGCTCGCATCCAAACAAAGCCAGACCGCTGCTTCAGTTGCCGGTCTGTTACACCGCTTGGCCACCGCTCTTCTCAGTGGTGTGGTGCGTGCTGGAGACCGAGTGCACGGCGTCCCGCGTTGAAACAAGACAGTGACTTGAACAGCGAGCGGTGATACACGCCTAACAGAAAGCGTTACCACCATGTCTGCCACCAGTCCGAAGAAGGCAAAGCTCGACGACGACCGCGACTACGATGCCGAGACGCAGAAAGCCCTCGAGGAGATAGACGCTTGCCAGAGCGAGATCGACTCTCTGAACGAAAAGGCGTCCGAGGAAATTCTCAAAGTCGAACAGAAGTACAACCAAGAGCGGAAGCCGTTCTTTGACAAGCGAAATGAGCTCATCGCGAAAATTCCTAATTTTTGGGAAACAGCGGTAAGTCCATAGTAGGCCTAGCGGGCTCAGCGCTCACTGCCTGCTAAGTGTGCGTGCATGCGGTGTGGGGATGATGCTGGTGCCGCCGCCGCCGCTGCTGGTGCTGCCGCTGGCCCGAAAATCGGTGTCTTGCCCCGACGTCTCACGTGTGACGCCGACGAACCGCATATTCCCCCTTTCGGATGCCACTATCCTAAAATGTCAGGCCGTAGCAGATTCGGCGGCATGGCGACCGAAACCCTTCCCGCTTGTTGGGGTAGTACTGTAGCGGAGCCATCACTGTTTCCGCGGCATTCTCCCGAGAATGCAGATCCGGGGCTATTGACAGTTCAGGATTTCGCCCGAGAATCGACGATGGGAGATGGCGTGCGTAGCAGGGTTCGCACTCAGCCACTCGGTCCGTGTCGATGCAAATAAAATATCCTTTCCTCGCTTGAACTCACCCGCTTGCGTATGCTCCTTTGGCGCCTCTGGAGTTCGCCAGATACTTGACCGCATTTTAGAAGCAAATTCTGAGTCGAATCGATGAGATCGTTTGACGCATTTTTCCGTTAGACGTATTCGGAGTTATCTCGTGTCGACGAATCATCCGTGATTTTGTTGATGTTATCGACCTCATAGACATGTAGGATTGGGTGGTATCGAGGGCCGACTCCGTACGGACGGTTATACTTCGATCAATCCGTCGGAGGGGGTTTGCGTTGTGATGATCGTAATCGACAGAAGCTTCCTCACGGAAAATACCTGCCTCACGGTGATAGTGAGCTCCGCCGACGTACATCGCCGAGTCTAAGATCGACGCTTTTCTTCCAGTTTGTCAATCATCCGCAGCTATCGGCGATCCTGGATGAGGAGGAAGAGGAGTGCCTGAAGCATCTCAAGAAACTCGAAGTTGAAGAGTTCGATGACATCAAATCAGGATACAGGATCAAGTTCCACTTTGAAGAGAACCCTTTCTTCGAAAACAACGTCCTCGTTAAGGAGTTCCATCTCGCCACTCCCGGTAAATCGATCATGCTCCATGCTGACAGCACCGTGGATGATATTTGCGATCCTTGATCCGGGGTACACCGATCCTGAATCTAAGTTCGGGCGAATGTTTTTCAGGGGACCCGTCGTCGAAGTCGACTCCCATCAAGTGGAAACCAGACATGGATCTGACCGCTAAGCATAAGGAGGCCGCCAAGAACAATGGATCTGGTGGTCGCAGACGCCGTTTCGATCAATCACGATCCTTCTTCTCTTGGTTTACTGACCACGGAGATGCGTCAGCAGACGACATTGCCGAAGTGATCAAAGACGACATGTGGCCCAATCCCCTCCAGTACTTCCTCGTCCCAGACATTGAAGTCGAGAACGGGATGGAGGAAGAGTCCGAGGGCGAGGAAGAAGAATCGGAAGGTGACGATGAGGCCGTCGTTGTCGTTGAGGAAGAAGAAGGCAGTGAAGTCGAGAACGAGGATTGAGCATAAGTAAGGCATTGAGGAAACCAAACCGAACGACTCCCGGATCCCTCGACCGGACCGTCGTCGTTGTGGCTTGATCCTTCAATCGAGGCGTGTGGCAACGTCTGGCACCAGTCTGTGGAACTGCGGATGGGGATCTCCCCCATTGAGTTGCAGGAAGCTTCTTTCTTTTCTTTTAACAACAATTTATTTATGCGGGATCATATTGTGAATAAATCAGTTTGTATAACTTCTCGCCCGTGTGGATGAAGTAGCCTGAATTCAGAGGAACAAAGACGAAGGGGGAAACTGCACTGTACAATACGCCTGCGGGTTATGATTAAAAGCCACTTGATTGTCCACAATAAAATCTTTTCATTCAATCCTTTGCTGGAATTCCTTGAGGTTCTCTCGGCGATTTCCGCATCGGTCGCGCTCGGAGATCCCGACTGGTCAATTGATTGATTGATGTTTTTCGTCCATCTCCTTCCGGAATTGCCTTCATCTTCAGTACGAAGCCCTTCATGCTTCATGGAGGGGCGATGATTCCACGGAGGAGCGATAATCCCACTGCTAGCAAGTGAAAGCGGTCGCTGGCGACGGGCTTTTGAAATTCATCTCGACCCATATCTCCAACTGAAATTCTGTGCAGGCTAACGTCTCACCTGAATATCCTTCGTGATGTCGAGGCCCTCTCGGTTCCTCTCTGTCCCGCTCCCGGTTCATCGTCTCCGAGGATCCCATGTTTCGGCGTCTCTCCTCCCGAGCCACATCTTAGACGGACGAATCGGATCGATGTCCATGGAGCGAAGCCCGTGGATCCTGGTCGGTAGACATCCTGGTCGGGCAGTCACCAATCAATTGGTCAATTCCACTAGTATTATCCATCATCATTCAAATATGTGCAGCTCGATCTTATCTCGAGCATTTCTGAAAACTCAGTACCAGTTCAGCGTTTTCTTCGCGATCATGGTTTCCCGCCAGCTCTCCTGCGGCTTCTTGGTACAGTTTCATTTTTGTTCTTTTGGAAACCGACCCCTTACCCAGGGCAAATCGCGCAAATCTTCGCATTCGATTCTCCACATCAACTCCAGGGTCCTCTGCCGAAGTCCGGTGGGTACAATGACGCAGGGGATCGCTTGCCTCCACCTTGTCTCGGTCATCCCATTTATAAGGGCCAGGTAACGCTTTCACGTCTTCGAATTTCGAGGAGCCCAATTCATCGTTTGTGGATTCCGGAGCAGTATCGTGATTCCCACCGACCCATCAGGGCACCTGAGTCGGGGTAAGCTTCCGAGAGATCGACGTGACAGACACTGCAGACGGTATACAGACACCATTACTCAGGTACGTCGAGCATGAGCTCCACCGCAGTCCCCACAAGAGGAGGGAAATCGGACTTTACTACACCTTGCGACGAGGATGCCGACTCGATTTTCGGAAGGCCTTGTTTTACCTGAGTCCGCTGAGAAATGGATTGAGCGATCAGGAGCTCCGAGTGTTCCTCATAAATAAGCCTTGGCTTTTAGCAGGAGGCTTCGAAAGTTTTTGGAGTCCGGCTTCTCGGTGGCAAAATTGGGAGCCGAGAAGATCTTCACTTCATCGAACGTCATGTTGTTCAGCTCAATGTGGATGCCCTTGATTCCGCCGCCCCTCCAGAGATTCGCCCAGTCCAGAATTTATTCCAGGTGGGTCAGAATTGAGACCGATGCAGACCGGGTCGATCGATGTCTCGTGGCGCCTCTGAAGAGTAATTCTCATGAGCATTCAATATACCTTTAACTGGATTAGAGATCAATTATTGATCTTGTAGTGCCGGGGGTGAAGTTGTTCCTTTCCCCGAGCACCTCATCGTATACCAGCGACTCGGAGGCTTCTTCCGGTAGAGGGCCCAGAAGTATCGAATACTCATTCCGTTCCGCAGCCTCGTCAGGAAGTTGGGACCTGATCCGCGCGGATTTCTTTTGACCAGCCACGCTTCGCTTCGACATACAGTCCGGCCTGGTAATAAGGGAGTCGTGTATGAGGAGATACGACATGAAAGGGTCACATTTGGATATCACTCTTCAATCCGAGTCCCCCTCGAGAAAATCGCCTATCTGAGGGAACCGCATCCTGGAGCGATTTTGAGATGTGCCGAGCGGTGTCCTTTAGGTGGGTGCGACTTCAAATATAATACAGTGAACCACCGCAACTCGTTCTGAGGCCTCCCGCGGAACTCGGATTCCTTTGAACCAGGACTCATGATTTCCCTTAAGTGTGAGCGAAAGAACGCGAAGCGGAGCTTCTTCTGGTTCGCGTCTTCTAGAAACGCGCCTATGGCGGCTCATCTCGGTGTCACAACATTGTTTGCGGATCTGTGGAGACTTCCATCAGGTTTTTACGATATAATATGTATCCGCGAAGGTTCCTCGATCCCAAGGAGAGGACGAATGATATTGATATCCATATACTATCAGAAGAAAGAGCCGCGGGCTGATGACCCGAGGGTATCATACCGCGAATAATCGAGGTTTCATGATCTCCAGAAGTCCACGTACTATAGGGACCGCGGAGATCAAGTAGTCGAGGGCTCACTGTACATACCTACAATTCTCAATATTTCTGTACGATCACCTCGGGAGTAATCGAGCTAGTTCCCAGAGGAACTAGTCATGCTACTCGTCGAGACGGAGAGGAGGCGAGCTGGGAATAAATATATAGGCAGTTTATTTGAAAATACTGTGCTCATCAGAACATTACCTAAAGACAAACCAACTGTCATTCCCTGATAGAGGGCTTATCATGAGATAAGCGTGTGACTAGTTTACTCCATAACAAGGCTGACGCCGGTAACAACTCGCTGGTATCGGAGGAGGATTCCTCGTAACGGGAAGAGGGAGGGCTCCTCGTTTTTGGAGCTCGAGACCAGAAGGCAATCTTCTGAGAAAAAAAAAATTGCTAACAAGCGGACAAACGGAGAATCCAGCGGGAGTCTCGTTCGTTTGTGACAGCTCTGATAGACAGAGAATAATCAGTATCCCGCACCGGGGACAAGCGACTCCTATGGGATATCTCATTGAGGCACGCTGGAGACGGACCGCTTGGAAACGTAACCCTCCGGGTTCGCTTGTTGCCAACGCCAGCTATCTTCGCACATCTTGAGCAGACTGCGCTCTGCATGCCATCCTAGCTCCCGATCGATCAGGGAAGCGTCCGCATAGAGCGACGGAACGTCTCCCTGGCGTCTTCCCACGATCTCGTAGGGGATTTTCACCCCGGCAGCGTCTTCGAACGCCTTGATGACTTCCAGTACAGAGAAACCTCGCGATGTACCGAGATTGTAAACCTTGAGTCCATTAAGTTCTGCACGCATGATCTTTTGTAAGGCGACGACGTGACCTTTGACGAGATCGACGACATGAATGTAGTCCCGAACCCCGGTTCCGTCAATTGTTGGAAAGTCTCCACCGAATACTTTGAGACATTCTCGCCTCCCCACGGCAACTTGCGCTATGTAGGGCATCAGATTGTTGGGTTCACCCTGTGGGTCTTCGCCGATATAACCGGATTCGTGAGCCCCGATCGGGTTGAAGTAGCGTAACAGACAGATATTCCAGCCAGGCTCCGACTTGTGAACGTCTCTCAGCATTTCTTCGATGAAGTACTTCGTTCGGCCTGGGAAAGCATCATAATCGAGTCAGATACTGATTCATGGAAATCGTCTCTGAATCGATCTCCGAATAAGCTCATCGAAATGCACACTCCTGTGAGTTGCAGACATCATTCAAAGGAGATTTCACTTAGCTTACCGTAGGGGTTCGTACAGGTCATGCCCGTAGGATGATTTTCATCGACGGGAAGGTATTGCGGGACGCCATAGACTGTCGCCGAGGAAGAGAAAACTATGTTCCGCAGGTTGTGCTTCTTCATAACATTGAGAAGATTTACCGTGCTACCCATGTTGTTCCTGAAAGGCATTCGGAACAATTAATTTCCGGTGCCGTTGGAGGCGTTCCTCCGAGTGAGTGCTCTCAATTTCGATGGAAAGGACGAGATGCGGGGGAAACTCACTTGTAGTACTGCAGAGGTTCCGCGCAACTCTGGGCAACAGCTTTCAGAGCGGCGAAGTGTATGACACAGTCGAATTTGTGCTGTTTGAATATTTCTTCCACTTTATCTTCGTCGCACAGATCGCAAGCCACAAATTGGAGAGGTTTGCCTTGAATTTGACAAGTAGAGGCTTAAATGGTGAAACCCGACCGACAGGCGGACGTTTTGTGTCTGTATATTAGGGCTCTTCGCTCGAGGCCCCTCGGTGAGGGGTGATAAATGACCCATCCAGATGACGATTGGGAGATCAGTCTCAACCCTTGACAAAGCAGGATCCTGCCGAATAATGATTTATGCGAAACGTGGGTCACGTTCTAAGAAGCGTTTGGCTGATCAGACAAATAATCGAGACGTGGGACTCGTAGTTTTGATTGTATGCAATTCGCTATTTGGCAGCGGTGAAGCCTTCTCCCTATGAGTGCTTTGAACAGGGAGGGATTCATGAGGATTTTTTCCTGGAACTCCCCAATGTATCAGTTCCAATGTACCGGAGCTCACCTGTTATTTTCGAAACTCTTTTGAGGCTTTCGGGCATGAGATAGCCATCTTGTCCCGGCTGAGCATTCGCAAAGTTATCTACGGCCACCACGTCGTAATCAGCTTGCAGCAGTTCCACAATACAATGACTGCCTATGTAGCCCGCACCTCCGGTGACGAGGATGCATTGCTTCGGAGCCATTTCCGCGTTCAAAAACCAGAAGCCTGTGGGAGATGGAATCGTTTAGCACTGTGCAGAGTAAATGTTATATATATAGAGTGAAGCTGCACCGCATCCCGTCGTAGCCCTCACAGAGCGTAGGCGCGGATGGCGACGAAACTTCGGCGTGCGAGACCATGTGATGCTTTGGTGCCTTGCTAGGATACCTAGGCCTCGAGTGGAATCGAGAATCATCATATTCATTCACAGCATCTAATCTTCCAAATCCTCGCGGTCAGCTCTCCAGCGTCGGACTGCAATGATGGAAGCGAAAGACGCATGCAGATTCCAGAGTCACGCCAACTACAATTTCGACGACTGCTCTTGAGCATGGATCATTTGAGCCTTTTCCGTTCCGATGGAGGTAAAAAGTGAACTTGAGTAACTCCCATGTTGCATAGCATGAGAGTGCTCCTTCTGCCAGAGGACCTGTTTCGCAGAGGCGGGGAGTGTAAATTTAAATGACCGCAATGACTTTCAGCAAATTCAGAATTTACCATCTTCCAAGATATTGTGGACAGCCATTGTTCCTTGATCTAATCTCACAGTCATTGAGCCAAATGACGTGGGATCCCGTAAAGTCGAAGTCCGAGAACGATTCGATATCCATTGTCAGGAGGAATTCAAGAATTGTTCCAGAAACAAAGATACCGCGCTGAGGCCGTCGTGAAATCAGAACTACCCAGCCAGAATAGGATTGCAATTTGGCTCCAAGGCGGCTGGGTCTGAAAGGAGGTTCTCGCGCTTCTGACGCATTCGTCATAGGCAGAGCAACAGCTGAGTACTCGCTCGTCAGGTCGTTCGTAGGCACACCGTTCCGTCGCCGTCGTTGACCTTCGCTTTAAACACTACGTGGAGGCCGATTGCTCCGTATGTGGTTTTTGACACACCCCCGCTCAGTTCTAGGAATTCAGAGGATGATGGCGAGCTCGAATTAAAATCGATTTGTTCATTGAGTCGCTCAACGATGGACTGTTCGCCATGGCCACACATTTGAACATCTGAGCGACTTCCCGCGATGAATGCATCGCGCATGGCGCATATGGAAGCTATTTACCGAATGGCTTGAGCGGCTCGAAGCCACTTAAATACTATAGCGGGCAGCCTTGTCATTCACCAGCTGGGCAGAGATCGCGGTCAGCTCGGTGAGTCCAGCCCGGACCTGAGCCGCCGGTCCTGTTAGAGACGAAACCCCGCCGGAGAAAGGATCGCTCGGTGGGGAGCTCCTTCATGGTCTGACAACTCCGAAAGAGTGTCGAAACGGAGCCGCCACTCCTGAGAGCATTCGGTGGGATTGTCCCCCCATACATATACCACAGAGCTCTCTACGAAAGCCCGCGAGAAGCAACGGCGTTCTGTGTATTGTAAACCATCGAATCGAAGCCTCGACCCGTTCGGCGAAAGTACTCACGGACAGCTGAACTGGCAGGTGAATTCCAATCTCCGAGAATGTCAGCTGCTTGACTCAAAGATCCCACGGTGGGATACCAAAATCAACCCCGAGCAGCTGCAGCGAGAGCAGTTGTGAAGTACTAGTTGAGAAGTATCCCTCTTTCTCCACGGTCCTCCTCTTTGGCGGCGACCGAGCGACCGATGATCCACGCATAGTTCATATTTCCTTCCGGCGCGGCAATGTTTACCAGACGAGAGAGCTCGTCGCTCTCTCGCTCGCGCGTATAGCAGACGGGACACAGAGGAGAGCCCTATTGGGAAATGGCGGCTCAGCGCGGTTTTTCTCCCTTTTTCACTCGTCCCCTCCGTCGGGCCCTCCGCGAGAGAGGCCTAGCGGCTGTGTTGCGGTGGGTTAGGTACAGGGGTTCGGTGGGGCATGACCTGAGTACTACTTCGGCATTCACCCGCGCAGAATGGGAACCATGGAAAACACCTTCGAAGTAGACGGCTGCAGGGATGATCGGACCCACACCGCCTGCTGCACGATAGAGCATCAAAGTAGCGAGCGCAAATCTGCATGTGACGTGCAGACCGCTCGGCTATCCGTCGGTCTTCGAGCTCCAATGTGAAGCTTTTTCACACTTGGATAGCTCACTTCCTTGTCCCGAAGATTCTCGGAGATGGATTCAGCCTTGGCCCGTTTGACAAAGCTCGGATAGTCCTAGGCTTCCTTATTCTGGAGATTCTCGGACTCTATTCCTTCGAAGGCTCTTTGGCCAGAACTTCGATGATTCTCGGGTTCCTCATGCCGGAGATTTTCAGAGGGTAATTTTGCCGTGGCACGCGAGGAGATCGTAGAGTCCGCGAGGGCGCTACTCCTACATTTTTTGGAGCTCCGTAAACTACGACGCATAGTGGTCGCCGGCCCTTCGCGCGACGCAACTCGTGGCTCGCGCGCGGAATGGCAAGCTTCTGACTCCTAGCAGCGAACGGGTGAGAAATGAGCCATTGAAATTTACATTGTGGGAGTCGATTCCATTATACGAGGGCTTGAGGTCTGAGCCGGGAGAAACTCAAGCCGGAAGCGATACTCTCCCTTCATTCGAAATCGTGGAGACACAGAATCAACCGTCCAGGGTTTTTCGACTTCAGAAAGGAGCTCTATAGAATCCTAAACATGTGTTCCGCGCTAAATTCTGATTCCTGGGTATCCAAGTCAGTGTAAGGATACAGAATCAATTTCCCAGGTTTTTATTCTCAAGAAAGAGCTACATATGTGAGATCCCAGACATTCGGTCATGGCGAAATCATCGAGTCCCGAATAATAAATCCATCAGAAGCTTCGGGCGAGCAACCTCCATCGGGACTGCACTCGCTCATAACACTCAGGTCATGGATATAAATAGTCGTCTCTTCAACCGGATCCTAGCGCGATGCTCCTCTCCTTTCATCCTCGATCGCCCGAGCTGAATCTTGACATTATCCTCCCAGTGCCGTCAGGGTTGAGGAGGGTATACGAGACCCCCCAGAACCCCTCCGCTGGATGGAAACCGTTCGCGCTCGTTGCTCAGAGAGCTCCCAAGAAGTTCCGTGATGACAGCTTGATTGAGCAAAATGACCGGGATTTCAGCCGATGCACCCGAATCAATCAAGATCCCAGAGACTTCAGTGAATATCTCCGAATATCGGTCAAGCCGATGTACTGAGGGAAAAAGACTCTCATCCGGAGATGGCCCTCAGAAGCGAACTCCGCCCAGTCCGTTCGCTCATTGTCTCCCCATGCGCAGTCTCTCCAGATTAGAGTCCGCAATCATTGTCCTCATTCGGAGAGAGCTCCTATCAATTGACCATTCGGAGAGTTTCTCATCTTTTCCTCTCCCACTCGTTTACCGCAGACTGGTAGTACAAACACAGGCTGAACAGTATTGAAAACTCCAACTCTGTGCCTCCTCCATGATACCGACACGAGCAGAACGAACCCCAATACCGAGACGTCTGAGTGAGATCGATATCTCGGTTCCAGAACTGCAAACGATTTCCGCTCCGAAAGAGATTCCAGCCTAAAGGCGAATTCGATGGTCACACACAAAAATGCCATCGAAGACTTGCTATCACGGAGAAACATCCTGCCACGCATCCTCACCGTAGCTTCGAGCTCTACGACAATCGGCTCCCGGAGACAACCGGGGTGAATGGCAATCGGCATCACGGCGCGGCGTCGCGCTCACCGACAGCACCTCGATAGCGTCTCGGAAGGGACTATATTGCACAGGACATTCTCGGAACCGAAACACGAGTAACGAGAGTTGCTGGTTTCAGTATGATGAACTTTCATCGCCTCGATACTGGATAGCTTCCAGCTTCAGGAGCGCATGGCGTGAGTTCTTGGGGAAATGGGAATTTCGATACCAGGCGACTAGGCGAAGCAAAGACTTCGGAAAGCGGAGCTGATTCAGTCGATTCACATGATCCAAACACAATCGGTCGTTCTGCAGACGATGCTAAAGATTTACGATCTACGGCATTGTAGGCGTGACGATCCGCAAACACTGATGGCGCTAGCCTCCCGGAACCGCTGTTTTGCAATCCTTAGAAGATCAAGGGTTCGCCCAGAGCAGCGCCGGCGTCGGAATAGAGGAGGAGTGTGAAAGAAGTTCAAACAAAATCCATCGTCGGCATTCCGGATCACATCTCCATAGCCCGTACGCGGATCTGTCGCTGTGTCAGCTGTGAGGCTCGAGCTCATGGAATCATGAGCGGCTGCGAATCTCCTACGAAAGGCGAGGTTCTGCCCCATGAAAGTTTCGTTCGCCTGGATCGTATTCAATGTGATCTGGCCTAAGGATATAACAGTGCGCTACGACATTCGACGTTGCAACGGATCTCGAAGGAGTGAACAATTTGCGCGCTACCTGCCTCATGGGAGAGCTCATAGCGTGCGCAGTCCGACGCGAGAACACTCTCATGGCTAGAGTCGCGATGGTAACCAGGTCCCGCCCATCGATGCAGTAAACATTCGTCTCTTCCATATTCCGGGTGAATCGAGATATTCTCCAAACGGATCGTCCGCACGGAAGCCCACGCAGTTGTCAGTGCTGTTGCTGATTCGCGTACACCGAGCCGGGAGGGAGCTGTCGTCGCGGGACCCCAGAAGAAGGTGAGGGCTTATCTGTCTCGCTTTGATCTCTCGGAATCTTGGAAAAAAAAGGGAGATGTCGGTTCGTGAAGAGAACAGACTCTCTCGTCGGCGCATAAACATGGGGCTCGAACAGATTAGTCATTATTTCGGCATGGCTTGCCATGAGACGAAAACTCGTTCGTACGAATGGCTGATGGAATGGTCGGGCGAAACCGAAGACGCTCTCGACAGTGGTGATGGTGTTCTCGGGCTCCTATCTGGCAAGAAGCACGACTGGCTTCCCCAATGCTGTGGATCTGAAGACCTGCCTCCATTGGAAGAATGCATCCGTGCGGTGGAGTCGGAACTTTCTCAAATCGACAAAGCGCTGCAACTCGTCTGTGAGCGCGCGGATGAAGATGCAAGAACCAAGAGAGAAGTGTTCGGTGAGGTTCACGCCAGTTTAGAGAACATTCTTGGAGAACTGTCAGTGATTCGAGAAGCACTTGATTTGGAACCTCCAGCTCCAGAAGTCATAGACTCAATTAGGGGACCTTTCAATGAATCGAGACCGCGGACCCCGAATGATTTGAATGCATGGTGAGTATTATGCGATCCTGATGTTTGTGAGTCTCTGTCACATGACCATATCGGCACCGAATCAATTCATCAAGTCACAATCCGACTCTTCCTCGCCAGGGAATTCATCATCATCAATCAAACGATGCGGTACCTCCAATTCTGGGCTCCACGATTCGCGAGGCTTGCGGAAGCTTCCGAGGACGCCTAGATGCGCTTTTCAACCTTGTTTCTAAGAGGATACTCATCGATATCCATCGTGTAAAACATCGTGGGGCGTTGAGGCTAGATTCTGACCCGCCCTTTTCATCGGATTGCGCCGTATCGAGAATCCCAAGGAGCTTGCTGGACGTTAGGGCGGAATTTAGAATCTGTAGATTCCATCTCGGGGGCCATAACGACAAGGGGAAAGTACGCCCACCCACAATGAAGATTCGGCATCATTTTCCCGCATGAGGCCGAGAGACGATTCCGTGACGAGGAAATATCAGATACGTGCGAGAGAACTGAACTCAAATCAGTTGAGCGAGGTCGCATTCTCCTCGGAGCACGCGCGTCAGACTGGAAATGGAATCTGTTACTCATTCCCCGGCCGAGCCTTCCGAGGCGGTCTTTCTCGATTATTCGCGAAGTGATCGAGCTGCCTCAGAGGAAGAGGCGCCTCTATGGATGTATTTTGGCGAATGATCCTCGAAAAGATCGTAGAGTCGGTACATCAGCTTACAAACTATCGAACACAAGCGGGCGGATGATAATGGAAATTGAGCATCAACCTATGTATAAGCAAGCACCCCTCAAGATGCTCGAAAGAAGAAAACTTTATTGCCCATAATACAGCTGAATTTTCACGTCAATTTTTGTCAAAATTCAGAAACTGGTCCTCGCAGCTCGCTCAAATAGCTTTACTGTTGGAAGAATCGCTACCCTTCCTAACTGTTCTCAGTGTAAGTGTATGAGCGTCCCGGAGCGGCTCACAGTCGGTGACTTTCAAACTCGGAGGCAACCAGGACCGAACCCGCACTCGTAGGGTACGTCTTCAAACATCTCCCAGGGAAGAGGAAACGCAGCTCCCTTCTATACTCATCCTCGTAAGCGGAGGCGTGAGTACTTGAAGTTCTCCTCGAGTGCTACTTGTTTAAGCATACGTAGAGAGTCCGTCCAGCGGGACGGCCCAGAGTGGTCGAGGTAGGTCGGCTCATAATCTAGTGCTCTTTCCCAACGCGTATTCAACTTCAGCGTCGCTGAATGATGAATCTCTTCTCCTCGTTACTCCTTTTACTTGAGTGTCGAGAGCTTAAAGGGGAACCCCCCTGCTCGCCTCCCGGCATCGCTTGCTCGTAGTTCATAAGAAGGCCCTACTAGATGAAATCCCATCCCCAGGTTTATTCCATGAGACAGGGAGCGGCATTGCAATCGATGGAGTCTGATAGACAATCGTACGCAGAATCGCCCGCGATGCTGAGAGATCGCTCCTTAGAGCTCAGAAGCGATCGGCGTGGACACGGTGAACTCGGGACAATCCGA